TGATTAGTAGAAGCTTCTTTGAGTTTGGCAGCTAAAATCTCTGAAGATTCTGTCTGTACTGAGCATGTTCTAACCCAGGTCTGCAGGGGCTCAGTGGAACTTTCTGCCATTGATCCTCCTAGCCACAAGGGACAGGTGTGGTTCCAGGCACAGGAACTAAAAATAGGACGGTCTTTCCTATGCTTTCATTGCTCCACTCCTTTCTGGTGCCTACACAATGAGGAGGAGTGGATGAACAGCCTGACTTAAATGCACAGAGGACTAGGAGCTGGGCCTGGGGAAGCCAGGGAGTGGGATGAAGATTTGAATCTGAGGGGCCTGGGAGGGTGTCTATATGAGGTCGCTGACTGCAACAAGGACAAGGTGGAGAGGCTGGGGCACAAATGTTTGTGACCACTAGACACTGCCCTCAGTATCTGGAGTAGAACGCAGGATTCCTGAGTCTTACCATTCCTCTGTTGTCAGCAAATATCTGTGAAATACGCTGGCAAAACATCCCATCCTTCTCTAGTGCTAGCCCACACCAAAGATGTTAACCTGCTATCTGTTACTCTGTTATCTCAAGAGGCAGAGGTCTGTGCAGTGGATCTGAAAGTTCTAGCCCTGTTGATGAACCATGTGAGTGTCGATATAGTTCCACATGATGGAATTTCTTTTTTTTTTCTGTTTTTTTTAACTCTAGGAAATTACATTTAAAAGACTACATTAAAGTTGCGAAGTTGCCATTAAAGTTGCAACGTTAAATACTCAAAAGTTAGGAAATGCCAGCATTAAGGCTGCCTGTGCAACCTTAATTTGGCCCCATGTGTGTATACACTGTGATTAAGGCTAAGATTATGTCACGGAAGTCACAGATTCTGTGACTTCCAGAGACCTCCCTAACATTTTCCACTTCATCCCTGGGAAAATGGTAGGGTGACTAGATAGCAAATGTAAAAAATTGGGACGGGGGTGGGGGGTAATAGGTGCCTATATAAGAAAAAGATCCAAAAATTAGGACTGTCCCTATAAAATCGGGACATCTGGTCACCCTAGGAAACGGGGCTGGAGCTGGTGAGAGCTCTGGAGCTCCGAGCTGCTGCAGTTGCGAGAGGTCCCCACAGCTCCAGGCCACAGCAGGGGGCCCGTAGCTCTGAGCAGCCACGGGCGGCAGGGGCCCCTAAAGCTCTCTGCCACCTTGGGTGGCTGGCGGACCCAGAGCTCCAATCCACCACAGACGGCAGGAGGACTCTGGAGCTGCCAACCACTGTGCAGAGACCCTGGAGCTCTGAGCCACTGTGGGTGGCAGGGGGACTCCAGAGCTCTCAGCCACTGCAGGCAGCAGGAGAACCTCGGAGCTCCCAGCCCCAACCCCAGAACTCTGAGCTGCGACAGGTGGCAGTCACCCCAGAGCTCCAAGCCGCTGTGGGCACCAGAGGGTGCAGCTGCAGCGGATGCTGGACCACCCCCTCCTCTCCCACAGCAGGGTTCCAGCTCTCACCCCCCATCAGCCCCATTTTGTGTCAGTTATTTCTAGTAAAAGTCAGGGACAGGTCACTATTGCCTGATTTTTGGGAGGCTAATAATATTTAGATAATACGGGTTATAGGCTCGCCAATTACTCAGATCAGAAGATAATAAGGTTCTTGTCCCAGAATCAGGCTACGCAGAATTTACAGGGACCCTTGAGATGTATGACAAGGAAACTCACGCTGAGAACAAAATGCAGCCTTAAAGCCTTTTATTGAGATAAATGGAATAGTAATGAAACTGTAATCAAATAATTAATCAATTACAACCGCAATAATATTGTTCTAATAATACATGTGGTATTATATACTATAAAGGCTTTTCTATTAATATACTCACACCCTTCCTTGATTACCTCGTGATAAAAGACAAAAGACCAGTCTTGCCTCTGGCATGTCAAGAGAATTCAATGTTCCAGGTTCTTGAAGTCTTGAGTGAGAGGTGAAGAACTTAACACTCCAATAATAATTTTAGTATTAATGGAAAACAGAAATCAGATAAATCAATATCTTTAGAAGAAAATAGAAAACAATTTGCACAAAACTTTTGGGACTTAAGCTTCATTTAAAAAAATACTTCCCTAATATTTTTTATTTGACGCTTGCCAACTTGTCTTTCTTTTTATTTCAGTTGCTTGAAACAAACTAACAATGAATGAGCTGAACCTACCCAACATGGTGGTTGCCCCTTTTATAGGGCCTGAGCTTATCCAAACTTAACTCGCTCACCCACAAAAATGTTAGGATACACTTACTCTTTAGGATGGCATGTTTGTACGTATTAATGACATATTCATAACCATTAGTGACCATTAGCTCATCCTCACCTCTGTTATTTCTGTCCGAACTGGTTGTTTCCATGTTCTTTGTAGTGTATCTGTTAAATCTGAAAAAGGCCATGAACTTGGGTGACCTTACCTACCAACTTGATTTAACATGCCCACTTTTCTCTGTTAAAGGTTCCAAACATATATACTGCATGCTCTAGCTCATCATCACCTATCTCGAACATCTGTATGCTAACTTGGCCTAGCTCAACAGATAGGATGTGGACTGTAGGTTCCTTGCATTACAGCTAAAATACTCAAATACAAACAGCCAAAATACTCTAATTATAATAACAAATAATAAACCTAAAATATAACAAGTGGTTAAACTCATAAGAAAAGATATATAGTCAAGCAAGCAGGCTAGCCTTATAGGCTACATCACAGGCTTCCGTGAATTTTTGTTTATTGCCCATGACCTGTCTCTGACTTTTACTAAAAATAACCATGACAAAATTGTAACCATAATTGTGGTATAGTCTTTAATTACATTATTATATACTGCTATTTTCCATGGGGGGGGGGGGGGAAGGGCTGTAAAAGTCTGGGGATGGGGGCGTAGAGTGTGTGTGTGAATAATAATTTCTATACTGCAGAGGGTGTCTGGGGGCAGGAAGGAGCTCTCTACAGTGACAAGGTGTCTGTAAGGGTTGTAAGGGGTCTCTGTAATACAGTGACTGGCTTTTTAATTTTACAAGCAAACACTTTCATTCTTTCTCACATGCTGCCCCTCATGCTTGGAAAGAGTTCTCCCATTTTCCTCTTTCAAATCCGTCCTTAAAACTCTTCTTAGCTCTGATGCCTGTAAAAATGTGACAAGCTTAGGCAGCTGGTGTGCTGAGATTGCTGCCTATTATGCTGGCAGATAGTGTCTTCTTGTGCTCCCCCATTTGCCTGTCTGTCTCCATCTGTTGTCATGACTTATGCTTATATTGTAAGCTCTTTGGGGCAAGGACTGTCTTTTTGTTCTGTATTTTTATGGAGCTTAGCACAATGGGGTCCTTGTCCATGACTGTGGCTTGTAAGTGTGTGCTTCCATAATAAATAATAAATACGGTGGGTGGCTGTTAGGGATGTACGGGTCTGGGGGCTCCACAGTGCAGAGGGTGTTAGTGGTGTAGAAGGGTGGCTGTGTAGTGCTGGGATGTCAGAGGTCTCTGGTTCAGTGGGTGGCTGTGAGGTGCAGGGGTCTTTGGGGTCTCTATGGTTCAGGGGTGGCTATGCAGGTCCAGGGGTCTCGTTGGTTCAAGGGTAGCTGTTGTGGGGGGGGGGGGGCGAGTCATTTCAGTGGTTCGGGCGTGGTTGTTCAGGTATGACTGTCTCAGTGGTTCAGGGATGGCTGTGTGGGGCAGCAATCTATGGGGTCTCAGTAATTTGGGGGTGGCTGTGGGGAGGGCCAAGGGAGCGTCTGGGCTTTCAGGTTTCAGAGTAACAGCCGTGTTAGTCTGTATTCGCAAAAAGAAAAGGAGTACTTGTGGCACCTTAGAGACTAACCAATTTATTTGAGCATGAGCTTTCGTGAGCTACAGCTCACTTCATCGGATGCATACCGTGGAAACTGCAGCAGACTTTATATACACACAGAGAATATGAAACAATACCTCCTCCCACCCCACTGTCCTGCTGGTAATAGCTTATCTAAAGTGATCATCAAGTTGGGCCATTTCCAGCACAAATCCAGGTTTTCTCGCCCTCCACCCCCCCACACAAATTCACTCTCCTGCTGGTGATAGCCCATCCAAAGTGACAACTCTCCACACAATGTGCATGACAATCAAGTTGGGCCATTTCCTGCACAAATCCAGGTTCTCTCACCTCCCCACCCCCCTCCCAAAAACCACACACACAAACTCAGGAAATGGCCCAACTTGATTGTCATGCACATTGTGTGGAGAGTTGTCACTTTGGATGGGCTATCACCAGCAGGAGAGTGAATTTGTGTGGGGGGGTGGAGGGCGAGAAAACCTGGATTTGTGCTGGAAATGGCCCAACTTGATGATCACTTTAGATAAGCTATTACCAGCAGGACAGTGGGGTGGGAGGAGGTATTGTTTCATATTCTCTGTGTGTATATAAAGTCTGCTGCAGTTTCCACGGTATGCATTCGATGAAGTGAGCTGTAGCTCGCGAAAGCTCATGCTCAAATAAATTGGTTAGTCTCTAAGGTGCCACAAGTCCTCCTTTTCTTTCTGGGCTTTCAGTAATTTGGGGGTGGCTGTGGGGAGGGCCAAGGGAGCGTCTGGGCTTTCAGTAATTTGGGGGTGGCTGTGCAGGTATGGGGATCTCTGGTTGGGGGTGGCTGTGGGACAGGGCTCAGGGGGTCTCTAGGATATTTGTGATTGGGGGTGGCTGTGGGGCAGGGCTCAGGGGGTCTCTAGGATATTAGTGATTGGGGGTGGCTGTGCGGGTATGGGGGTCTCTAGTTGGGGGTGCTGTGGGGCAGGGCTCGGGGGGGTCTCAGTAATTTGGGGGTGGCTGTGCGGGTATGGGGGTCTCTGGGATCTCAGCGATTGGGGGTGGCCGGCTCTGTGTTATGGGGGTCTCTAGTAGCCGCCGCCGCCCCTCCCCCGGAAGTGTCCCTGGGCGGGGTGGCCGCGTCCCCTGTTACCAGGGAGTGGCTCCGGAAGCGGTAAGGGCGGCGGCCCTGCTGCGGCTGCTCCCGCTTCCCCCCCGCGGGATGCTCGCGGCCGGCCCCTCTCGGCAGCGGGGGCGCATGGAGCCAGCGGGACTGGACGGGCGGGTGCGCGGGCCGTAGCGGGGCGGCGGCGGCCATGGGAGCGGCTGGCGGGGTGTGAGGAGGAGCCGGGGAGCCCCAGCCGGAGTCCCGGCGGGAACAGCCCCCTCCCGCGGGCAGGTGAGAGCCGGAGACCCCGCGGGGCCTGCAGGGGAGGGACCCCCATGGCGGGCAGCGGCTCCCGTTCAACGCCCCGCGCCCCAGGCGGCAGCGGAGCGGGACGGTGCTCGAAAACCCTTCACGCAGCGACGCACCCGCCCCCCGGGGGGGGACCCCTCCCCCAGCACACCAGCCCCCGCCCACGTTGGGGGGGGACCCGCCTCCCCCAGCTCAGCCTTCCCCAACCCGCCACATGCTAATCCCTCTGTCCCTGGGTGCCAGAAGGGGGGATTCTGCCCCAGCTCATCTACACTGCTGCTGTGGTGACAACCCGTGTCACGCTGATCGTGTATTGCTGTGTCTCAAGCCACTCTATACCCTGTACTCGTGACATATCTTAAATGACCTACTTTATGGAAGTGTACACTGAAATACACGTCTGTCTATAGACACTGCTGAAGGGCCCACTCACTTGCATGTCTTGGGGCTGATTTTTTAAAATTGTATGGGTGTAATGGTATGTATTTTAATACAGGTTTAAGTATACAGAATTTAATTCTGCATAGCCTTGACACTGGTATTCCTTGGGGCTCTGACCCTGTAAATGCTTACTACCAAGTGAGTTGGTACTACCATGAGTTCCTAGTCCCTGATTTTTTCCATTGTGACAATGGGACTACTCTCAGTAGCAAACACTATGTTCAGTAGTAAACGCTTGTGGGAGTGGGCCTATGGAGTTTGTATTTATCTAGTTTATATTTATCACTTTATATGTGATGTGTTTCTAGTCATTCTGGATTACTGATCTCTCTAGTTCCGATTAATTTACTTATATTTTTATTTTGTTATGTGTCAGTTCATTGTTTGTTCATCAGTTCATTTGTTATGTAGCAGTTCAACTTTTACTGTTCAGCCCCTGTTTATTTGATATTTAAGAACTTTTAAAATATACCTGGTATCAGATAAAATGATCCTGCAGTTTTCTTAGACAGGCCAAACTTCCACTGACTTCGTGAGATTTTTATATTAACTTTAATTGGTGTTGCTTGAGTATGAACTCAGAATTGTTCAGGGGGTTGGGGTGTGGGAGGGGGCCTAGGGCTAAGGAAGGGGGTTTGGGGTGCTGGCTCTGGGAGAGGGCTCAGGGCTAGGACAGGGGGTTGGGTTGCAGGAGGGGGCTCAGGGCTGAGGAAGGGGGTTTGGGGTGCTGGCTCAGGGAGGGGGCTCAGGGCTGGGGCAGAGTGTTGGAATGCAGGATGGGGTAGGGGGTGCTGGCTGTGGGAGGGGGCTCAGGGCTGAGGAAGGGGTTTGGGGTGCACGAGGGGGTTTTGGGTGCTGGCTCAGGGCAGGGGGTTGGGGTGTGGGCTCCCGGTTGGCAGTGCTTACTGTGGGCAGCGGGACTAAGGCAGGCTCCCTGCCTGCTCCGGCCCTGCGCCGTTCCCAGAAATGGCCAGCACGTCCCTGCAGACCTTGGGGGAGGGCATGAGGCTCCGTGTGCTGCCCCTCCCTGCAGGCACCGCCCCCGCAGCTCCCATTTCCTGCAGTTCCCCCTTCCCGGCCAATGGGAGCTGCAGGGATGGTGCCTGCAGAGCCCCACAGGGCCGCTGGGATGTGCTGGCCACTTTCAGGAGCGGTGCGGGGCAAGGGCAGGCAGGGAGCCTGCCTTAGCCCTGCTGTGCTGCCGGATTTTTAGTATCTGGAGATCGTGGTCGACTGGATTAACCAGTCAATCGTGATCTACCGGTTGGTAACCACTGATCTAATCACACTTGCGGGGAAGGGGAAGTGGAGGAGGGAGAGAGGCATATAGGATATAAATCCCTATAGACTGAGCATTAGATATTGGATTAAATTTATAGCCTTAAAGTATTACCTATACTGTTGAATATACGGTGTTACTTTCCTATAATCTTTTTCAGAGTTACTGTAGCCCGTTGACAAAAATATTTTTGCTTGCCGTTATTTGTAAATACATTATAAAAAATACAAAGCTTTAAACAGTCTAATTATGCATCCTACTGGGATAATCAAATCATCCAAATATCCTGAGTGCTAAATTTGAGTCTCTTGTAATACTGACCTCCCATTAGATCTTGAGTCCTTTAAAAATAGGGACATCAAGATTTAATGTTCCTAAATGAGACGAAGGATGGTCTTGCGGTTTAGACACTGGGGGTTAAATTCTGTGCTTAACTTTGGCACACACTTCCTCTGTCACCTTCAAAAAGTTACCTAATCTCTCTGTTGCCCTGGTGGGGATATTTCCCATCCTCATCATTGTGTTGTGAGGATAAATTCACCTACATCTGTGAAGAACTCAGATGCTACAGTAAGGAGGGCCTGTTTAAGTACCTAGATAGAGTAGGTGTGTGTGTTTTAATTATTTAAAAAAAAAAAGGCAGAAAAAGAAACTTTGTAGTAGTCTTTAATCACCACGTAGAAGCAATAAAGGAGGGTACAAACACAGTTCATTTCTCCTGTAGCTTTGAAATTCACCTTTTACCCTGGAAGGTGGTTATATCCCCAGAGTTTAAACAGGGGAGGGGACTAACTAGTCTGCTGTGGTTTAATAGACTGGAGGAGTCAGTTTTAAAAATCTCTAGAAGACGCTCCTCACAGGTCTGAGTGCATGACCTCCTGGGGAGCAAGGTACCAGAACTACTAACTGAACCTCTCTCTCCCGCCTGGTAGTGTAGAGCTGTTTTGCTAGGCCAGTATCTCCTATGCGTTAATTAAGAAAATATAGGATGTGTTGTAATATTTTAGTAAAAAGATGGCCCTGCGGAAAAGATGCTGTGGCAGCCAGCTTCCTTTGTATTTAATTTTGGTTTTCAGAAATTAGTTTATTGTGCCTCTAGTTTGTAATAGATTACTTTGAAGTGAAGAAAAGGGCGAGAAGCCCTGAATGCTTGCGCTTTTAATAATACAGTGAGATCACATATATTAGTGAGTCATTTACTGACAATGAAAAACAGACTTCCCTTCAGTTAAATGAGCCCTTTAAAGCCTTTGCAGGATCAGGACCTAAGATAGTAGAAGGAGGCACCTGCCCCGAAGAATTTACAATCTGAATAGACAAGACAGATGAAGGTAGGAGAAATATAAAATGGAGATAATACTTCCTCTGAGGGTTGAACTTGAACCACAGAGAAATTAAGTAATTTGTCCAAGGTCCCATAGGAAGTCTGTAGCAAAGCTGGGAATTGAATACAGAATTCTCCTTCCTCTGTAGGATGGGGCACGGGTCACTTGCGGGAGGATTTTCTGCACCTTGAAGTCTTTAAACCATGATTTGAGGACTTCAGTAGCTCAGACATAGGTGGGTGGGTGAGATTTGGTGGCCTGCATTGTGCAGGAGGTTAGACTAGATGATCATAATGGTCCCTTCTGACCTTAATATCTATGAGTTCTATTCCGTGTGCCTTGACCCCAAGATCACTCTTTCTCTCACACAAGTCTGCCTTGTATTTTTTAATCTTCAGTAAAAAATCAAAAGCATAATTGAGGGTCCATTAGTAAATGTGAGTTTGAAGTTTTAATTTCTGATTCACTTGAAAATCATACACTTCAATTCATTTATTAAGTTATTCGCCTTTTGATGTCTGTATTTTATACACCAGAATAGATGCAGAACATTGTGTGAGATGTTTTTTACGTTTTTTTTCTGGCTCTCAGATGACAGGAGTTTGTCCTTTGCCTGTTGTCCCAGGCAGAGCCAGGAGAGAACTCTTGTCTGTTTTAGTCAGAATAGTAGCATTTGATCTGAGGAGCATTACGGGAGGTTTTTTTAACCTATTATTACAAGTCATCAATTTCCCATTTTTTTCAAATAGCTATGTGGGGAGCTAACTAGGCAACTCCTCCGGAGTTCAATTTTAAAAGTAACTTTTGGATTGAATAGCAACATTGGGGTTTTGCGTATCATAACTTAACCCTGTTGAAGACAAAGACCGGTCATCTTTGGCTCCACTAACCAATTTAATTTGCATAATAGTTAAACCATGCTCTTCCAATTAGTTCCATTCTGCCAGATGCCTGCACCCACTGAGATCTTCAGTGACTTCATTGTAACATGTCTCTTAGATTTTTTTTGATTGTGTATTGGAAGGGTGTTATGCAGCTATGTGAGAAATGAGATATAGGAAGTGAGCTCTAGATGACAGGAAGTGACTGTTTCATCAGGGTGTGGTTTTTAAGGGCTCTTCTTCAATAAGCATTGTGAGGACCTTGACTCGGGAGATTAGTATTGTTAACTCTCTTGAGAGTTGCTTGTCAGTGTATCCAGCCAGAAGCAAGTTGCTAACCAGCAGTTGTATGAAATAAAGAAACAATAATATGAAAAACAACAAGGGGATATTGAAATTAAATAAAAAAATTCTGTCCTACAGTATGCTGTGGATATTTGATAGAGGATTCCCAACATAAATCCTTTACATAGTCTCACATCGTTGTTTTCATAGTTGCTGAGTAAGGTGGGCCATGAAATATCTGCCATTTAAAAGAGACATATTTTCATTTAAGTGTTGACTATAAGTGATAAAATTTCCAGTGCACTAAATTTTATTTTGTAAACATTATCCAAGATAAAGGCAAGTTGGTGGTCTCAGTTCAGTGGACAGATAGTCACGAACACAATTGATGCTAATCAGTACTCTTGTTAGCAGTTTTGGAGAGGCCATAGAGACTTGAATTACGTTCTCATTCCTAAATATAGTCCCTTAGGTGAGATTTGAGAGACACTGTCAGGGCAGCATGAAAGAGGGTTGCAACTACTGCTGCCCATGCTATATCTGTTCTGGGAATACATATAGGACTTCAGTCTCTAGTGCTAATGCAGCCATCATCTTTCTTTCTTAAATGCTGAATGAATTTACTTCCTCCTCCTCTAAAAAAAGTTAAAGGTAAATTACCCTGTGGATACACTTTCATTTCCCCATTTGGATTTATCTGGTCTGTATTGGGAGCTTGATAGCCATAGATGGACCTATCTTCCATGAATCTATTAGCCAGGATGGACAGGAATGGCGTCCCTAGCCTCTGTTTGCCAGAAGCTGGGATTGGGTGGCAGGGCATGGATCACTTGATGATTACCTGTTTGTTTATTCCCTTTGGGGCACTTGCTGTTGGCTACTCTCAGAGGAAAGGATCCTGGGCTTGATGGACCTTTAGTCTGACCTAGTATGGCCCTTCTTATGTATCAAGTACAAAATGAAAGAGAGGCAGTCTTGAAAGTATACAACGTTACAAGTTGATTTTTCTTTAGGATAATGGCAGGAAAAGTGAAATGGGTAACTGACATAGAAAAGTCCGTGCTAATAAATAACTTTGAAAAGAGAGGATGGATTCAGGTGGCAGAAAATGAAGACTGGAATTTTTACTGGTAAGTACATATAAGAATTCTCATAATTTTCAATTTGTGACACATTTTCAAATGTACTTTTCCATAAGTAAAACCAGTGTTAATGATTTATTGTTAATGTTCACGAATGTCTTGTAACATTGAGAGGGAAGCATGCCTCCATTAAATTGCCAGTGTTTTCTGCAGCACTGCAGGGCCTTGATCCTACAGTTACATCTGCATGAGGAGACCCTTCTACCTGTGCAGGCCCCATTGAACTCAGTAGGGCTCCCCATGGGTGCACGGGTCTGTCTCTAGTAATCCAGTGGCAGGATTGAGGCCTAGGAGGTAGGTGTGGGTTTTTTTTCTTGGATTGTTTCATGGGTTGGGGGGGGGGAGGGGAGAGGTTGTTTGTTTTGAAAAGCTGCCACCTGAAACATATACAGTGTAGTTTTAGCTATGTCAGTCTCAAGATATTAGAGAGACAAGGTGAGGTAATATCTTTTAGTTTTACTGGACCAACTTCTGTTGGAGAGAGAGACAGACTTTTGAGCCACACAGAGATCTTCTTCAGGTCTGGAGAAGGTACTCTGAGAATCACAGCTAAATGCAAGATGGAACCGATTGTTTAGCATAAGTAGTTAGCATCTATACTAAGGGACCATTTAAGGTAGAGTGGCCCATTAACACCTCTACTTTCATGGGGCAAAAAGGGGGATTAGTGTGTTACAGATTCTTATTACAACCATCTGTACCCCACTAACCCCCCTTTTGCCCCATGACTGCAGAGGTCCACTTTTTGCCATGGGCCCGGCTCCCTGCCCCTCATCAATCCACGAGGCCCCCCCCTGCCCCCCCCCCCGGCCAGGCTGGAAGCTGCAGCCTGGTCCAGGTAAAAGTAGCCCATGCATCCCAGGGAACTGTGGACCTTCCACCTGCCTGGGGAGAGAGGGCCTCTGAGAGCAGCCCCCAGCCTGTGCCCCCACCCCCAGGCTCCCCGCCAGGGCAGATCGAGGGTCCGCATCTCCCCACAGCTGTCCGGGTGGCTCTTACCATGTCCCAGCTGCAGCTCGTCAGGCATGACCTGGGGGCCCAGAGCCCGCACCCCCTCCCACATCCCGAGGTGCCGCCCCCAGGTCATGCCTCATGCTCCCCCCGCCACACTTTTAGGAAGAATCCCTCGCCCCTGATTATTGGTGTTTTAATTCTGTGTTGCTATGGCTCAGAGTGACACTGGTAGCCAACCCTCAAGCATAAAGGTCTCACCTTGGCTTCCACCAGCCTAATTGCTCTTTGCAGGGTTACCCCAACAGCCCTTCTGGTTCCAAGTCTCCTCAAATTCGTGCACCCTGAGTTCTTAATCACCAGACACTCAGACTTTTCCCCTTTGGTTCATCACCCCCAAAGGGGAGAAACCAGTCCCCCAGATACCAGCTTGCTTTGGCGCACACACTCCACACCAGAGACCTGCTTGGGGTACAAATAAACAAAAAGTTTATCTAATAGAAAAATCAGAGATTCAAAGATGAAATTGTAAGGGGAAGCAAACACATTCAAGTGACACAGAAAATAAACGTAAAGCTATAACCTTAGGCTTTACATTTTCAAGTGAGATAAACTTCACTTTCTAACACAAGTTGCCTATTGCCTCTGAACAGTTTCCCAGCATACTCCGTGTCATAGAGAGGATCCACGATTTCACAGACAGCACCGCCAATTGACTGTCCTTTAGCTTCTGAATGGAGACCTCAGTTTCAAGCCTCCTATTTGAAAGGGCTTTTTCTTTTCTTTTGTTCTCTTGTCTTGGCGACTTCTGGTTATTCAGGGTGGGAAAGCTCTAGCTGGGATGTCGGTGCTTTCTCACTAAAGCTATGTCTACACCTCACAGCTTTTAGCGACACAGTTGTGCTGCTACAGCTGAGCCACTAAAAAGCGCACAGTGTAGCCACTGTTTGTCGGCTCTCCTACCGACAAAAAACTTCCACCTCGTACCCTCTCCCCCAACGAACAGCGTTGTCAGCAGGAGAGTGCTCCTGCCAATAAAGAGCTGTTCACCCTCATGTCTTGTCGTCGGCAAAACTTTTGTCTTTCTGGGTGTGTGATTGTGTGTGTGTGTGTTTTAACACCCCTGAAAGAAAAAAAGTTTTGTCGTCCAGTTGCCAGTGTAGACATAGCCTAACTCTAATGACCCATCCTTTGTCTTTTCCTGGATTGTACAATATTAGGTGCTTGGAGCTAGTCTTTTCTGTTTGGGGAGGCAGACCCTCCCTGCCTGATGGCACTACAAATCACAAGCACCGTTTTGTGTATACGTGAATTCTTAAAGTCATTATGGTCTGTATATAGATCTCATAATGACCATTAAGTTTAGAACATTACAGACTTTCATAAAAGACCTTACTCAGCATTGTATAGAATCAGATGATTCATTTGCCTGTTTGGAGTTCAGGCCTCTTGTCCCGTTGGAGTGTCTGGGCCTTGATTGTCATAGTCAGTCACATTAAAAGGTGCAGATCTGTGACCCTCCCTCTTCTTTCTTACGTGAGGAATGAAATAGTTAGCAATGTGGATGTCAAAGTGGGACCCACAACTTACGGAGATGAATATTGCAGTTCACACCTCCCAGTGCTATTGTTCCAGGCTCTTTGCAGACTCTCAGATATGTCTGAATCGTATTCATATTTTTGAGGTTTCCTTCAAACCATAGGTTAGATTTCTTTTCTTTTTATAGAAAAGGAAAGTTGAGATTTTGAAGAACAAGATAGTAGCTCCAGAGAGGTGCTGCTATGGTGTGTGAGCATCTATTGTGTATTTCCAAGCCCTGTTGAGGACTGATTGGCCACTGATAGTGCCAGGATAGGATGGGCACAAGTTGATTCCTTTCTGTCCCTGCCCTGGTTTCAGAACTGATGTAGGAGTAAATAGTGCCTGTAGGCCTGCAGTCTTGTCTGGAGGGGTTTCATCTGGATTCATTAACATTGATTCAGGATGTGCTGAAGTTTCAATCATAACCTAAGTATACATCCTATAAAGAGAAAAGTTAAACACAGAGAGAGGGCACAGATTCCCTTAAAAGTAGTATTCCTTAACATTATGGTATGTTTGGTCCTTTTCTCTTTTAATCTTCTAAATTCAGTACATTAACCAAAGTGGAATTAGAAAATAAAGGAGACAACAACTTGATTGTCGTCCTTTTGAATGCTGTTGCTTGGGAGGAAATCATCTGATATTTGTTTCACCTTCCAGGATGAGCGTACAAACCATCCGCAATGTTTTCAGTGTGGAAACTGGTTACCGGCTTTCTGATGACCAAATCGTCAACCATTTCCCGAACCACTATGAGCTGACAAGGAAGGACTTGATGGTGAAAAATATCAAGAGATATAGGAAAGAACTAGAAAAAGAAGGGAGTCCTCTTGCAGAGAAAGATGAGAATGGAAAATATATTTATTTAGGTATATATTTCTGACTGCCAGCATCATTCTTGTTATTGACCACACATAGATTATACATGAAAAAAGTTTATTTTGTGATAATAGTAGGATAAAACTGCAGATTAATGCACTTTAAACAAAAGCAGTACTGGATGTTGGAATCTGTTTGGGATTCTTGCCTAAGATAGATAAATTTACACGTCACAGCTTTAGTATGATGCTTTCAGAAAATTTAGTGCTCAAAGATGTCAGAAAGGCTTGGAGACAAAAATTGCGTATTTTTTTTATTTGCAGAATAGGTTTGGTGTGGGCAGTGAAATTGCAAGCATCACCAAATTACCTGTCAAAGTGCCTCAGTGCTGCTCTTTAAAGACTATTTTTAAGGGTGCCATAATTCAATGTCCACATTCAGTCCTTAGCATCTTTGCTAGTATCTTGTCAACGGTATGTTTATAGTCGTGGTTCTAATTATGTAGCAGGGCTGCAACCAATAACTGAGTTCCCATTCCTGTGTAGTCAAACAGCCATCAGATGGTAACAAAAATTAAAAATTCTGTGCAATATTTTAAAATTCTGCAAATTTTTTGTCAAAATAATATAATATAATCAAGCTGGTTTCAGTTATTTTTGGTAATTTAATTAAGCTACAATACAATAAATGGAGAATGGGAGTAGGGAGCATTGGAGGAAATCACCAAACCCCCTTTGTATAATAGTAATGTAGCTAGTACTGCCCCTTTACTTCTAGTTATTAGTCAACAAATATATGCAGCCATATGCTCAGTGTTACTGAAGAACAAGTGAGGGCTGGGGACTCAAACTCACAATTTATACTGTCTACTGACCATCTCCGAAAATGTCAGTAGCAAATAGTTAACGGAGCACATTTTGATAGGAAATTAATTGTTTCATTCCAAAAATTTTAGACCAGTTCTAATCACTAAAGCACCATAAGCATTTATAAGGCCATAATGTCCTTTACAGTAAGGCTCCTTTGTACCACTGTGGCAATGTAAAGGAGCCTTAACATTTTTTACACCTGTTTTATACTCCTGGGGAATTCACTAAGCAGGCACGCAGCTACGTTCTGCTCTGCCTGAGGGAAAAGAGCCTGCCCCACGCCTACCTCTTCAGAAACACCCCAAAGCCCTGCCACTCTATGCCAAGTGTGCCACAATAGTGAGCGAGAGAGACAGTGTGTCTCTCTCACACACACGACTTCGCAGCCCCCACCGTGAGGTGATTTGTTTCTACCAGCTGCTTTGAATGCCCAAACCAAACTGCCCGCACTGCCGGGGAGGAGGTGCATGACCGCTCTTGCGGCTTCCCTTTGCTTCCCTGTCAGAAGTCATTTTTCTGCTGGGAAGCAAAGAAATCTGTGGGGGCCATGAATTCTGCGCATCCACAGTGATGCAGAATTCCCCCCAGGAGTAAAATGTAGGACACTGCCTTGGTTGGTGGATTTTTGAACCAGTGTCTTGGATAAAAGGCTCCATCACCTGTTTATTTATTCTATAACTTTCTCCTCCTCTACTGCTTCACTGCTGATCCTCCACCCCAGTGTCTGTGATGTTGTATTTTGTTGATGATTAATGATGTCAGAGTTTGGGATGGGTCTCTGGTGCTTTTGTGGATCTATCTAAAACTTGATGTCTGTTGAATCACTAGATGGGAGGTAATTCAGTTGGAGCTTTGCATTTTTTTTAGGACTGGGATCTGGCTGGTGTTTGGGGGGTGTCAGGAGCGAAGTAATGGGGTCCATTTAACATTTAGTATGTGGGTAAAATTGCAAAATGAAAACAAGAAATCCCAGATGTTTTTAATTCCCTTTTGATGTTTGCATAACTTTATTAAGTATACTAAATTTATTTAGTTAACCCCTGCTACTCTGACCCCTGAAAATATAGCAGCCCCAAAAAAACCTTTCTTGTGCCACTGAAGAGAACAAAAAAAATTGCACAGAAGATTTTGATGGTAGTAGGTCATGGTTAAGGCTAAGATTTTTGTCATGGCTATTTTAGTAAAAGTCATGGACAGGTCCTGGCCAATAAACAAAAATTCACGGAGCCCGTGATCTGTCTGTGATTTTTTGCTGCTCCATGGTTTCCCCTGCAATGTGGTGGCTGGAAGTTATGGGGTTCCCCCTTTGCCTGCAGCAGCTGGAAGCTGCAGGGGGGCCCCCTCTGCCCACGGTGACTGGGAGCTGCAGGGTGACCATATTTCCCAAAGAGAAAACGGGACACCCCCAGCTACAAGCCTGAGCGCGCGCCCCCCCCCCCCCGAGGACCCCTCAGGAGTCTGTCACCTGTTGTTGGAACCTCGCAGGGGACCTCGTGTCGCTGCTGTCACCTGTTGCTAGAACCCTGCCACGGTCCTGCTGGCTGCCAGCTCCAGAGTCCTGCAGTCCCTGGGGCTGAAGCACAGAATATCACGGATGTCATGGAAGTCATGACTTCCATGACATAAACGTAGCCTTAGTCAGGATATTGTTCTTGCGTGTGAACAAGCGAGTAAAAAAAAAAAAAAGTCAGGCTCACTCACCACACTAACTAAAAGAACACACACAATTCTTAGTATTTTATATAGTATATTACATTTTCAAAGCTCTTCTCAAACGTTGCCTTGAAAGTTAATGGTTGAATCTTCTACAAATAGAAAAAATGAGGCAAAGAGGCTGTAACTTGCTCAGGGCTTCAGAGGCAGTTAATAATTGGGATTAACGCTTGGGCATTCCTGGTTCCCTGTCCAAAACTCAGAGTACTGAACCATATGCCCCTCTTGTATACCACTACTCACATGTATGGAGGAAGACAAATCCAATTGCAGACACACGTTTTAAGCTTCTAAATTGGTGCTAATAACAAAGTGAATGTTATTTTAAATTGACATACTTTGGGTGGCCCCTTTTAAAAGTTACTCTGAATCACTGTCACAAAAAGCCATTATTTCCCTTTTATTGAGGTTAAGAATTTTCTCACTTTTTAATCAGAACTATACCTCACAGTTCTGGAAGTGTGGTTGAAGGCAGGTATATCAGTTGTAGAATAGTTAAAGCCCTTTTCCCTATGAAGTGGAAGAAGTTAGCTCAGATTAATTATGGACACCTGAATCTAATTAAGGGCAGCCTGCGGCCTTTAAAAACCTCTTCCATTAATGGTGAAAAGAGAAGAGGGTTGAGACTCAAGCTGCAGAAGGGTTGTGTTTATTCAGGGGATAAAGAGCTGTTTTTTCCTATAAGGGAAAATCTAGTCTTTATATCTGTTTGGAGAGAGGGCCTTGGTTCCCAGCATAGTTGGGCCCAGAGTGGGTAGAGAGGGTGGTTGGCAATTGGTAGCCAGCAAAAGAAGAAGCAGTACTCCAGTGGGAGTTAGGAAATGTAATTTTTCTGTTTTTGTTTAAAGAAGCCTTTGGGACAACCCTAAGGCCTAAACAGTAAATATTATAAATAAACCAATGTGAAGTATTAAACCTCCGGAGTGGGACTGATTTACTCCATACCCTCTCAATGCAGAGAGAGAAACTCTCAGCCCTGATGTGACAAAAGAGGTGTGTTGTTACAGAATCAAAAGAAGGATGAAAGAGGGTGTTGGGAAGGTTTGCGGTTTCATGCAGAGACTTAGCTGTGAGATTCTAGAACTTTTTACCAACTATTTCATAACTAAAAGAGCTTTCTCTTATTCGTGGGACAAAATATTTAAAGCCTTTACAAGATTTTTCACTTTTGAACCCACCAAGTTCCATTTTTTCCAAGTTGTCCCAGATTGAGGTGTCAATAGAGGAGGTTTTGGAACAAATTGCTAAATTAAATAGCAGCGGTCACCAGGATCAGATGGTTTTCACCTAATAGTTCTGACTATGTTCTCTCATATCAAAAGGGGGTAGATCAGACAAGGACACAGGAGTCAATCTGTACTGAAGAATGGAAAGCCAGCGAAGATATTTTTACTTGTATACATCTGATATCCTTGCTAGATCTAATGTTCTAAATCTTGCTTTTTGTTTACTGATTTAGATTTTGTGCCTGTCACCTTTATGCTCCCTGCTGATTACAACCTGTTTGTTGAAGAATTCAGAAAAAATCCTTCCAGCACCTGGATTATGAAACCTTGTGGGAAAGCTCAAGGGAAGGGGATATTTCTTATCAATAAACTCTCTCAAATTAAAAAGTGGTCTCGAGACAGTAAAACATCTTCGTAAGTTTAACTTCCTTCCCCCCCAATTTTTGTGTATTTTGTAATATTCTATCACAGTCTGGCATGCTTAATATCAATTCACTAATGGAAAACTCTTTCCGTCCACCAAACCACTTAGCGTTACTTCATTGTAGTTGCAATTTCTCATTTAATGACTTCCTGCTTCAAACAGCTCTTAGTGCCAATTATTGCATTTGGTGCCATGTGGCACAAGCACTAATTCAGTGAGCTACACTATATAAATATGCTTTCTGTGAAGGTGCAGGGTTAGTATGCCCAGTTATGTGAGGAATAAAATTGCATGGGCAGACTGGAATAATGATTTTGCTTAACAGCATTGAAGAATTGTGAGTTAGAGGAAAGTCTTTCACTTCTAGTAACTGACTTCATTTTCAGCCTGAGGAAGATTGTGTGACATTGTACAACCCCATCCCCAGTTGAACTATGAAACTCTTCACTGTTCTGAGTAGAAAAGCCCAGTCTGCATGGACTGCCTTTAATAAGAGGCCTGGCGAGAGAGGAGCTATTAGCTGGGGCCTATTAGGGAGTTAAAGAGCAGAGCTAACAGCTGGGCCTCATGAATACGGAAGTCATAAAAACTAAGACTTTCATTGAGGTGAGAGAGAGGAATAAAGCATCCTCATAATGAGTCAGAAGAGGAAGAAGTTTGGGGAAAGGGACCATGATCCTCGTTTTTGTCTCCTATCGCACCCAGCAGAGAGAAGGAATGTGGCTGCTCTACCAACAGAAAAGTCTGTATTGCTTTACCTTTTTTGTTAGCCCATTCTGATTAAAAGAGTAACCGAGAGACAAGTAGCCTTCCAATACAACAGCAACCTGAAGAACTGCTTTGTGCTTTTTTTTCTTAGTTGTCTTTTTTCCCCTCAGGTTTAAAAATGTTGGTGACCGCATTTCTGAGAGGAGGGGTAGTGAACTTATAACAGTCAGATCTTATTGAAAAATACTGGTAATTTAAGAGGCAAACTGATATTGACATTAACGTGGCTTGATGGTTTAAATCATCAATATTGACTACTGATAAACATAATTGCAAAAGCCCCAATTAGTGACGCACTCAAGTCTGAATTTAAGAGTTTTGCTAAATAAAATAGCTTGTTGAGTCAGAGCCTAAATTCTCTTCTTATAACAGTGAAATGTAAAAGACTTAAATGGACAGCTAATCTCACTCATTTGTTTTAGCTACGTTTTTGTACACAGTGAAACCAAGTGCCCTGCGCACATTAACCAGCATAATAATAAAACTTAATTGAAGAGTGATATAGGATTTTAGTAAAGTAAGAACTTCATTACTTTTTGAGAGACTGCTTCTAAGGGAGGGAAACATTTTAACATTTAATCAATACGTTCTGAAACATAAAATATGTACTTTTTCTAGGTTTGTATCTCAATCTTCTAAAGAAGCCTATGTAATTTCTCTCTATATCAACAATCCGTTACTGATTGGTGGGAAGAAATTTGACCTGCGCTTGTATGTTTTAGTGTCTACGTATCGTCCACTGAGGTGTTACATGTAAGATCAAACTAATTTCTCACTTTTAAAATAAAAAAAAAATTAAAAAAATGTTAAGATGTAATTCAGGCAAAAGATTCTGCACGCATTGTACAGAGAAATTTACCAAGCATCTAGTATTTTAAATTGCTGTTTTCCTCAACTCTAGTTGCATTTAACATATTAAATATCTTTTTTGTTTCAGGTATAAACTTGGATTTTGCCGGTTTTGCACAGTAAAATATACACCAAGTACAAGCGAATTAGATAATATGTTTGTACATCTCACAAATGTTGCAATTCAGAAACATGGGGTAAGTGTTTGAGTTTTAAAAATGCTAATTTAATAGAAAACTGGATTATTTTAAATGGCATAAAAATGGAATATAAGTGCTTGTGTATTTTGTTCTGTTCTTCACACTCCTCCTCCTCATTATGTCATCTGAGCTAAATATTTGTTATGAATTTTATTTGCAAAACATAATTGATTCATATTACTTCAAAAACACATGAGATAATAGATGGAACACAGCGCAGCACTATAAGGTGGATATTTTCAGTTTCAAATTGCAACAGTTAAAAGCGTATGTATTGATAAGTCTATAAAACTGTACCTAAGCACTAGCATTTTTAAGTGGCCATAAATGTGGCTATAGATAAATGAACAGCTTTGTACCTCATATCCTCACCCCAACGATCAATAATAAATGCTTAATCAAATTGTACCTGATTATTTTGTATTTTACATTTTTGATACAATGTCTTAAAATAGATTAAATATAGTATTTTAAATCGTAAAGTCTTTAGGGCAAGGTCTTTCTTCTACTGTATTTGTACAGTGCATAGTACAACAGGGCTCAGATTCGGACCAGGGCCTCTGGGGAGTACTGTAATAATAATACAAATATTAAACATTGTTATATTCTGACTTTAGTGGCTCTAAGCAGAAGTAAATTTGAAAGACAAGGTCACTCATCAATGAATGCTCTTCTCCCCCCCACCCCCCCAATACTGAATATTCCTTGTCATCTGAGAACTTAGCTCTCAAAAACATTCCAGCCAGCTAACTGATAAGATGGGACACAAGGAGAATTGGTCTTGGAGGTAGCTGGGTCCAAAGCTATTTAGAACTTTATACGTAATTGACACCCTGCATTGCACTGGGCAGTGAACAGACTGATGAGGTTGAGATTGGAGTGTAGGTTATAGGTACACGTGTCCCGGTTAGCAAGTAGGCCATATTCCCTATCAGCTGGATTGTATTACTGTTAAGGTTAGCTCTACTCCCAGTAGTGTACATTAGAGTAGTCCAGCCTAGAAATGAGGGAGGAATGAGTGGACCAGATATACTTTTATCAAAATTATGAATTAAAAATTAAAGATCACTCTTGTCATTGTTTCTGTATGTTCATGACTGAGACTAGTGCTGGTGTCTCCCAGTAAGTGCTGACTATTAGATCAAAATTTTTTCCTGCTGGGAAAAAGACTGACCACTCACAATAGAAATGACTGGTCATATTTCATGTGTTTCAGAGACTTTCAAACTTGCTGTCAGTGCTACATTTTTAAAAAGGTTCACTTAACAGTGGTTTAACCATTGTTAAATTAACCACTCTTCATGTCCTCCTCTCCAGTGAAACAACCCCCTCCTCAAGCCTAACCCTTTCCTTTCAGTCTTGAAAATCTGATCTCCCAGTCATTCCAATCCTAACCTGCATTTCCTGTGTCCTCTCCTACATCGTTACTGTCAAAATGCAACTTCTGTTTGATTGTTGTTCTTATGTAATTTAATTACCACAAGGCAAGTTTTAACACTTGTTTTTGTGACTTGCTATGTAATTAGATGTAGGTGATTTTAAATGTGTTCTGTGTTGCACAGAAGGCAGTGCAAAGTAAAAATTGGGGCCTTACAGAGCCTGCAAAATGTCATACAGTAAAAGTAGTTTTAAAAAATAAACTTGTACGTAAAAACAAGTGTCAGTTTGTATGGATGAGAATACAATTGCTGAATAATTGCAAACTCCATGAGACTGAATTAACTCCTTAACTCTGTAGGATGACTACAATCATATCCATGGAGGCAAATGGACAGTGAGTAACTTGCGCTTGTATCTAGAGAGTACTCGTGGAAAGGAGGTCACTAACAAACTGTTCGATGAAATTCATTGGATAATTGTGCAGTCGCTGAAGGCTGTTGCAGTGAGTAGTGTTAATAGAATGCTGCCTGTGTTGCCCTCATGGCTGCAGACTTTCAATAATCATGAAAACAAATTTACAGTAAAGAAAAAAACTAAAGCAATTCATTTCCTGCTGCTGGATTGTTGTTTTGAATGCTGATGCTCTCATGCTGCTGTCTTCCTTTTTTGTTCTTTTTAAAAACTGTGTCACCTCTCAGTGTCCCTGTAAAGCTGAGAGTGCTTGGAGAAACCTGATTGGGTGGGCAAGCTGTTTGTGTGTATCTTAAATGAGTAAATTAATATCTGGGGTGCTGAAACCATCACAAATTCTTACTCTCATTTAAAGTCACTTTATACTGCCCTTGTGAATTACCCTAAGCTCTGCCCAGAGCCATGATGTGTTTCAGTAGTAACAAATTTGTCGTAGGAGGAAATAACCTGGGAAGACAATTTGTCAAACAAAATGCCAGGGTGTTAAGGTTCTTTCTTCCATTTTGTTTAGAGAATTTGTATAACTTATTTGCTGCTCTCTGGTCTGTGAGTAATATAGTTATCCCAAACTCATGCCAAAAAACTGTGGCACCATCATGTTTCACCTTTCCTCCTGAATAGCTTGACAGTGCTTTATAGTATACGGGTAACTTGCAGGCATTTACAGAAGGCAGTTTCTCAAAGTGCCAAATTAGATGCTAGAACAGGGGTTGCCAACCTGTGGCTCCGGAGCTGCGATGCGGCTCTTTAGAGGTTAATATGCAACTCTTTGCATAGGTGCTGTCTCTGGGGCTGGAGCTACAGACATTAACTTTCCAATGTGCCAGGGGGTGCTCATTCCTCAACCCCCTGCTCTGCCCCAGGCCCTGCCCCCACTCCGCCCCTTCCCCCGAGCCTGCCATGTGCTCACTGCTTCTCTCCCCACCCCCCAGCCTCCTGCGCATGCGAAACAGCTGATTGCAGCAGGTGGGAGGGAGGTGCTGGGGGCTGGAGCAGGGGGAAGCTGATGGGGTGCTGCTGATGTATTACAGTGGCTCTTTGGCAATATACATTGGTAAATTCTGGCTCCTTCTCAGGCTCAGGTTGACCACCCCTGTGCTAGAAGAAAAGGCAGCTCATCCCAATATTAACAGAATTGTAAAAGAGAAGAGAAACAATGTGAAGAGCGGAAGGAAAACAAATAATGTACAGAGGAGGAAGTGTTCTGATAGCTTCATTGCTCCTTTCTATTTCCTAAACTTAACAGGAGAAATGCTTTTCCTTCCTTCCCCTATGCCCTGCAAGACTGAAAACCTTTCAATATTAATTTCTGGAAACCATCTCTACTGACCTGTTACAAAGGGTTCTTTAAATCAGTGATTCTCAACTTTTCCAGACTATTGTACCCCTTTTAAGGAGTCTGATTTGTCTTGTGTACCCCAAATTTCACCTCACTTAAAAACTATTTGCTTACAAAATCAGACATAAAAATACAAAAGCGTCGCTGCACACTATTACTGAAAAATTGCTGACTTTCTCATTTTTACCATATAATTATCAAATAAATCAATTGGAATATAAATTTTGTACTTACATTTCAGTGTATAGAGCAGTATAAACAAGTCATTGTCTTTATGAAATTTTAGCTTGCACTCACTTTGCTAGTGCTTTTTATGTAGCCTGTTGTAAGACTAGGCAAATTATCTAGATGAGTTGATGTACCCCCAGGGGTATGCGTACCCAGGATTGAGAACCACTGCTTTAAATGATCCGGTGAGTGTGCACAGGAGAAGCATTCATACTTTAAGACCTTAGCTGATGCTGGAAAATGAGTGATTTTCTTGACAATTTCCATCCCAGCATTACTCAGTCCCTAGTCTGTTTTAGTTTTTATGACCATAGTGGACTTGAGATAAAGATAATGATATAGAGATAAAGTATTTTAAATATAAGGATCTAGTCAGTAACTGGGGTTGAACTCCATCTTTGCTGCATCGTTACAATGCTATAATAAACATTTGGATAAGTCGTATTTAATTTGAAAGTGAAAGTGTTAATGATTAGGTAAATTTATATTTTTATATATAAAAATGAAAATATTTCTAATTTCATGTATGGCTTGAAAGCCTTTAACACTCTCTTGTCTTCATACTCACCAGATGCTGTAAGATACACAGGTGAAACTGAATGAAAGCTCTGTAGTCAAATATGTTCTGTTAATACTGATCATACTGATTAGTATGATAATACTCAGACACCGCTTGAGAAGATGACATTTTTATAAAAAACAAGTCCTAAATATATTAGTAAAATGTTATTGTATAGGGAAGTCAGAGCAGAAAATTTGTACTAAGAAAACTGCCATAGACAATTGGTATTATATTTGTACATGATACCTAGAAAAATAATAGTAGAGAAATATAATAATGTATAATCTTTCAAGTTACTTAGTAAATCTTTCTTCTTTAATATGCATACATTTCTTCTTAACTTGTTTCAGCCTGTAATGAACAATGATAAACACTGCTTTGAGTGCTATGGATATGATATTATCATTGATGACAAGCTTAAGCCATGGCTTATTGAGGTAAAGTTATGTACATTTTATAAACAACCCTTATCACCGTTTCCTTTCACAGTATACATCTGTTCTTTCAAACCTGAGCTTGAGTTTTCCCTTTTCCAGATGAAGGTGTTTAGGGAAGGGTGTTGGAAAGTAAAACGGGCAACAAAATGGGCTGTGAGAGTTGCAGGATATCAGAATTCAGGAGAAACCTCTGTTCTGGTCTGGTGAGCAAAAATCAAATCCAGGTCCATTCATGATGTGCTTGGACTCCAGGAGCTGTCTGAAGGCCAGCAATCTTACTACTGCACCAGTAGCTGGAAGATTGGCACTGGCTCAGTGCAGTGTAACTCCAACTCTGCTAAAACTCAGATACTATGTAAAACACAGCTTAAAATTGTAGGAAAGCTAGAAAATAGGGGATACAAATATTAGAAGAATAAGCCTGAAATAATGCAGGGTTGTATACATTTATTGTATGAATTATATAAACTACTCTGGTGTGGTTAACTCCTGTCCAAACCCCATGTCTCATGTATCACTGCCCTATTCTTTTCCCCTACATCTTATCTGTATACATAATGGTTAAGCATACATTTAAAAAACTGTCAGATGACTTACCCTCTTTGCCAGCCAGATAAATGTGTGAAAATGGGGAGTTCAGAGGAGGGATACAGGTAAAAAGCAATACACCAAAATAAAGAGCCCCACAGATCCATATGTAACAACTGCTAGGAGGGGGCAAAGTGAGTGAGAAACTTGCCTCTTCTTTATTTGGTGTGAACTAAAGGTATAAATCCCCAGCTGCTGCTTGATTAGCATAGCTTCCAACAAAAATCTACAGCTATTAGAATAGGGTCAGGAAAGACCCTAAGGAGAATGAATGATACTTCAAAAATAAAATCTGTAGGAAATACACTGTTTCCTTGCAATGGTTTTGTTCAAAGAAAAGGCTCTATGCTGAAATGCTGATGATTAGTTTATAGGGTAGAATTCATTATCATTGTACGTTCTGTCTGTGTGACCATATTTTAGTCAAAAAGAAGTTGCTGAAAATGAAATGTTTTTGTTTTTAATAGGTCAATGCTTCCCCTTCTCTTACCTCCAGTACAGCCAATGATCGTATTCTCAAATATAATCTTATTAATGACACACTTAACATTGCTGTGCCTAATGGTGAAATTCCAGACTGTAAATGGAATAAATCTCCACCAAAAGAAGCTCTTGGAAATTATGAGATTTTGTAAGTTTTAGCAATGTCCTATGTAAATATGAACATGTCCTTCTTGAGAGAGAAGATTAATTTAGAACTATGTAGATGTGATGAAATTCATCCAGATGTGGAGGAAAAATATAAAGTGCTCTGTATCACTTATTTACCATGTTTAGGGCTGGAATAGCAGCTTCCAAGGGTTTGCACTCCTGCCTGGGGCCTTAGTTGTGGGTAGATGTCCCCTTCCTGGTGAGCCCCTGCACTTCACCTTTAAAAACATTGATTTATTCAGGGTATATGTTGGTGAAATGAATTTCACTCTTAAAGATATATCTAACAGATATATAGCATGTATCTTAGACTGCGTATAAGGCATGGGTAACAGTTAAATGCATTATATGTACCAAGAAAATTTTTAAAACTCTCTTAATTCATAGGAATGATGACACCCAACTGTTGTGATTCATTGATGGGATGTTAACAGTGAATTTAACCTGGTATAATGAATGTGTGATGCAGGGGGAAGTTAGAAAAAGAGTATCCCTATTTTAATGTATGAGATGGGCTTACGCATTTAGGGGGATGCTGAATTTGTAATCAAATTCCCTATTCCATTTGAAACCAGTTTCAAAAGCTAAATGTTTGAGAGCCTGGTCAGGAATTAATAGTACTGTAGTACAGTATGTTAGCTGACCCACTAATTCATGCCATCTATTTTATCTAAGGCCCCAATTCTGCAAATACTTATGCATGTGAGTAAATTTAGTCACATACATAAGTGTTTGCAAGATTGGAGAATACCTTTATAATTAATGTTAGCTATGTGATAGCTATGAACACTGATGATCCGCATTTAGTATTAGTTAATAGGTTCAGATGGAATCCTGTTTGACTGAAAAATATTGTAGCTGTATCTTTTTATTTTGATTATTGACATTTATATATTTAGAGTCAAATTCTGCCTTTGGATGCCTCCAGCAACTGTTAAATCAATGGATAGTGGGATTATCTCAGACCATACTGAGTTTGTACATTTAAAGAGATACTTGTCACTGTGGCAAGCTTCACAAAATACATATCAAAAATACATTAAATTGATGGGTACTTCTGATGTTGATAGATTGTGTTCAAGATTGAATCTTATATCTTGACTATCTAATCAGCCCACCCTTTTTGCTTAATTCTATTAACTTTGTGTCACAATCCAGCTTTTCTGATGTTGCAGTTGTTTCTGTGTTTGATACACTGGATTGTGACATGACTGAATAAGCAGCAAGCTAATGTTTCTATTTATGCACAAGTCTATTAGTCACAGGGATGAGAAAAAAATGCAGAAGTACATGCCTCAAATAGTTTCACAAGCTCTACAATTATTTGTGTCTGCTGTAATAGAAACTCTGAGGATGATGTGCCTGTTTTTCATAAATAGTTACTGAAGTATAATAGGGCTCATTTTATTATAGTGTCATAGGGTTCAATCCTGTGAACACTTACTCACATGAATAACTTATGTGAGGAGTTGCATCTTAAAACAAACTATTCATGTGGGGTGAGTGTTTATAGAATAGGATCCATACTTTAAAAATGTGAATGCTAAATATTAAACAAAAGAGATGTAAGGAAAGGTCATTCTTATGATCTCTGCTGTCCAGTGATTAGGAGACTGAAAAAATAATTATATTTTAGGTATGATGAAGAGTTGGCACAAAGTGATGGAGCTGATCGTGATTTGAGAAGCCGTTCTGGGCAATCCATTGGACTAAAAGGAAATCGAGCAAGAGATTCAGGAAAGCCTGTGCTCACCACGTGGAAGTAGTGACAAAATCAAATTAATATCAAATCAGTAATATCTTACTGAAACTCAGTGCTATACTCTTGGCAGAAAATTTTGAACTGAACACTCTGGCTTTGGACAGCTTTCTCTCCTTTGGACAGCTTCCTTCTCTATTGTGTATGGGAGTAAATAACTCTGAAACAGGACAAAACACATCAAAGAAATATTTGTACCAATATGAGACAGGTTTGTATGAAACAGGCTTTGTAACGTGAGGTATCTAATCAGCTATTCTAATAGTAAACTCACTAGTTTACTGCAAGAGTATTATGCTGCATGTGGCTATAGCAAATCAATTGTAATGTAAAGAATTAACATATTAATTGCATTAAATTTTTAAAAGCATAACTACTCAGACTTGAGAACCATGGATATTTTTTCAACAAATGGCTGTTTTCACTTATAACTCTCTTAAAGAACCTTCTTAAAAAATCTGATATTAATTCAAAGTATTCATTTTTAAACGAACCACTGGTTTGGTGTGCAAGATTTTGTTTTCCAGACTGTATATTGTAAGTAATCTATCTCTACACTTGTAATTATACAGTTTTAACTCCTTTGTAATGAATTAAGTGTGTAAAAAATTTGTGGTCAGGATTGAGTATAGATTCTGTAGGAAACCTAGAAAAAATAGAATTTTGGACCTCAGGGTGTCATTTCTCTGTGTTCCAGGATTAATCTTGAAAATAGAATCTAGAAAGGTCAGAGGTGATGAGTATTATTGTTGTATAGTTTACATTGGCATGATGACAATTAAATTCCTTGATACAAGTGCAGTCTCTTCTGGCAACATTTACAATACAAGCCTTGCTGAGCTGTGATTGTCAATGCACAGTTAATGATTTTTAGCTAATGTTGAGATTTAAAAATAAATAAATCCCAAAATGCTGAGATTTTCAGATGCATTGAAGCTATAACTCCTCAGGAATTAAAATTACATGGAAGGGGAGAATCTCTCATATAGCAAGTTGCTGTGTTATCACATTTGACATTTATTTTTACTTCTAAGGTGATTTTGGACATACCTGAATAAACTTCTTCCTGCTTTTCCTCTTGAACATACTGTAATAAATGTCAACCCCGCTGCTCAGTGATGCCTGTAAATCTTTGCTTGCATCTATACAGCTCTTTATATATGTGTGCGTAGACATAGGTATGTCTGTATTTTATATATTTTATGTTCTGTAACAAAATTCCATTGCATTTAATAAGCCATCTCCTATGACTCTGATGTCAGAAGGTACAATAGCTACAAATAGCATAAAGCGACATAAGTTAAAAAGTCAATGATTGCAGTCTTTTAACTTGTAGAATATTATATATATAAACTAATCAATTGTATGATTGGCGGCTACCTCTGATGTCACAATTTTAGCACTCATCAAGAAGATACTCAGAGCTGCTTTAACATACAGCCCAAATTTTGCGGGAGAAAGAAATCTCCAAAAGTACTTGAGCTATCATAATAAATCTCTGCTGAGCACCTGGATCTCCCTAAAGGATTAATAGCTATATAGAATGAATGAGGGACATTTTATATGCAATTCTAATCATTGTTAATCTTGTAGGTTCTGTTTACATATAGAAAGTCAAATGCAAACCTTGGCATGTCTTTCCACCAAATCCCTGGTCCTTTAAAGTTATGGAAATTCACCCCTTTCGTTAGGAGCACTGTAATAGGTCATCAGAAGATTGTGTCTTGAACTGAGATTAAGGAGTACTTTTTACATGATAAAGAAATTAAATCCACATAATTTCCAGCTCCCTCATGTATTGTTGTGTACCTCATTCTGGGTTTTGTTTGTACATTTGAGCCTTGGCAGGGTGAGACCTATGTCTGGAATAGATTTCTGGTATTGAATGCCATATTAGTGATGACTTGTTTAAGGGCAGATGTTTCCTCCTCCACCTCCTAGGCACTTGTTGCTAGGAAATGTGCAATGGTTTAGGCATTTGGAAATATTACACTGCTGTAAACAGGAGTATTTTACAGCATGGCTGATTTCTTAATCTCTTACAGCTCCATTTTTTTTCTAATTTCAGAACATCCAAACTGTGATTCTTGGCTCTTTCTCCCCTTTCTACATCCCATCCATGCACAGTGCATCTATCTGGTAGCATTTGGCTACATTCATTCTCATAGTTCCATTACAGTAGCCTCGCTAATACTATCACTGTTATGTATTGTGTGTACTACCTCATTACCCTTTTTCTGTATGAGGACTTTATGGGGTGAAGATGGTGTATGGAGAAATCGGACTGTTTGCAGTCAAGATCAGACTCTTTGCCTTTATGTATAATGAAGTTTTATTACACTAGAGTCATTGGGACATTATTAAGCCTGCTTCTAAGATGGAGCTAATGTGGACGAGCAGGAATAGGCCTGGGATATGTTGTATTAATGGCAGTGGAATAAATGGGTCTAGAGTCAAAGATAATAGTATGATCCTGGCACTGTACACCATTAAAGAGTTAAACATCATTTGGGGTTTGGAGTACAGGAACATTGACCATTTCATGGCAAGCACGTTAGAAAATTAATACAAATGTTTGGAAAATTATTGGTTACACAAGAGAAAAAAGAATAAAAACCCAAACAAAGCATATTGAAATTGAGTGGTTATGCAAAACACTTTAAACCTATTAAAGGCCCCTTTTTAGACAGAGAATAACTATTAGTTTCTTATTCTGTCAAGCAATCCTTTTTAGTGGGAAAGAAATGGTTAGTCTTGTTAAGTTTCAAGTGGACTGCTCTGCATGGTCATACTTTTCCTGTTTTTTTACAAGAAAGTCTAAAGGGGAGAAGATAGGATAGCAAAGCAGTAGGGGAAATACAGTATGGCTTTCGTTGATCTCAGTCACAGATAGATGCTTTGAGCTGTCAGATAAACCACCTCAGCTATTTCTCTGAACCCTGGCTCACTTCCCTGGTCTGGGATCCCATCTCAGTGGTCTAGTCAAGTACCTCTCCTTTACTGGTCCTTCTCAGGCTGGGCAGAGTTGGATGAGCTGTCTCATCCCACCATACTGGTGCTGTGCAATGCAGTTGGTCTCAGGATCAGGTGAAAAACCGAGGCGGGGGGACATGAGTAACATAGAGGGAGATGGAAAGGAACATGAGGGAAGGGAAGACAGCAGGATCTTGCATGCATCAGACTGGGGTCCTTCATGGTCCATTAGTGATAACAGGGTGTCATCACTTGTGTGCAGGTCTGGGTGTCCTGATGACTGAGGGTCCCCAATGAAGGGCACAGTCTCTGGAGTGGGACAGAGACCTGCCTGCCTTTTCCCAGGAGTCCACTGCCATTTTAATTCTCAAAGTCCACCCAAAAGGGCGTGATGGGTGGAATAGCCCATACCCTTGTTACTTTGTCATCCAATTTGTCCTAATTGGCAACACATTAATTTCTGATTCCATTCTCCCTTTGTTTGCCAGTTATGATCCTTACGCCGTCCTTGGGTGGTATCAATAGATGGCTCCTTTTTTGACTAATCCAGTCTTATTTTTCTAACTCTTGCTGACATAGAGAAACAATTTTATGTAACAGGCTAAGTTGGATTTTCATTACCGGACAATTTAGAGCGGTGGTTTTCAACCTTTTTTCATGTGGAGACTTATAAAAAATGTCAAATGGAGATGTGGACCTCTGGAAATCTTAGACATAGTGGGGTCCACAGACCACAGGTTGAAAACCACTCCTTTAGAGGACCAGGCCACTGCACAACAGATAGCAAGGCCAAGTGCTACTTTTACAAGCGGAGAGACTTGCTGCAGAACACACCTGTGATGCCGCTGCTCAGTTCTGGCATCCCACTGACATTCTAAAGAATAAGTTCTTTGAGGAAGGGACAGGATATTGCTGCACATTTGTACATGGGGCCCTGACTTGGTTAAGGCAGCTCAGCATTACTGCAATATAGGTGATAGATGATGATAGTCTGTATATGCAAGTGGCTCCTACCTGATGCTGTTACTGTTGGCATCTCTGGTGTTCCATAGTTACTTCCTTAACACTTTTATGTGTAAAGAATGTGCCTTGTTGCCTTGGCTTTGCCTATTCCTTATTTCTAGGACACTTTTTGTCTTTTAGAGATGATCATCTCCCTCAATATTTTTAAATCTATCTGTAACATACTAACTTTATCCCAATGTACATCTCTCCTAGAGATTTAACTTCCATTAATTCACATTCAGCATTAACCAAGCTGGGACATAGTTGTTTCTAAGACCTCCATCATCCTATGACAATTAAGTGCAACTAGAAGGCTTTGTTGGGCTCCTGCCTTTGAAATTCACATCCCTGTGACAAACAGTGGAGTGCAAATCATTTCTATTTGGTTTATCTCTTGTCTGTTTTTTTAAAAAATTGTTTTATACCTGATACAGTGATGACAAATCAACAGTGGTTCATTCCTGCTATTCACATTGAGTGTTTTTATGTAATTGTTTTGTTTTAAAAAGGGGAGAGGTGGAAGGTGTTCAGGGGTTCACCTGTTACAGACCTAGGCATTCTTTAAATCAAAAAAATAAATAAATCTCTCCCAATCATGTTGTCTTCCCCTGCTGACTTTGGGTGAAGTTGCAGCCCTGTTGAAGTCATAGGAGTTTTGCCATTTAATTCACAAGAGCCAGGATTTTGCCTATGGTGTATACTAAGTTTATATTTATGTGTTTGGGTCACACATAATATTCTCTCACACAGAGCACAGCAAAGTTATAGAACATCTGTATATTCTGGAGGTTTTAGTAGTGTAGCTGTCATTTTGGGCCTGAGGCTGGTTCTCATCTGTGTTCACTTTTCTGTTGGGAAAGTATATTCTTAATTTGTTTTTTAACACTGTGGTGAAGTATCTTTGAAAAATCGTATTTTACAAGCCATAACCTTCTCAAAATGTTTCTGAATGTAATGTGATCACAGGTTTTTGTATATAATTTATAGTGATGATAGGAAATTCTGACTTTAATTTTAAACACCCAAACGTCAGCAAATTCAAAGTCATGGTCATGACTCAAGCCTCTTGTACACAGCAAAGTATTTTATAGTATTGTATAAGCTGTTAATTTTATGTCTTTGTAATGGTCTCCTGCAGACCCATAAACATGTGTGTAACAAGTCCCTTCCAAATAAGATGACCATATAAATAGTCAAATTAACTGAGTCCAGTGGGGCTAAATTCACTCCTTTTCCCAAATTAAGAGTTTGTGTGTGGATATAAGTGAACAACCAGAGATTTGGTCCTTGTCTTTTAGAGGAAAAATTAAATTGTTTAGACTGCCACCAGAATGACTGTCTTCCTGATCCCTCTTTGTTGTTAAAACAATGGGTCACAGGGTGGATGAATTGGGCTACTTCCCTTTCTCAAGTCCTTTTTCAAGCAGGCTTTGGCAGAGGTAAAAATTATTATTCTTAGTTCTAATATATAAAAATTTAACAAACAGGGGTATACGAAATGAGAATAGAAAAATTGTATAAAATATGTGATTAACCACTATCTTTGTGCTCAGCACTGTAGAGAAAACAAACAGGAAGACATTCTCTGCCTTGAAGAACTTACAGATAAGTGAGACAAGATTCAGAGAGCAAATCACAGGCAGGAACCTCAACTGTTAAACTGTGTGTGTGTGTGTGTGTGTGTGGTCCTAATGAAAAATAGTGCTTCTTTAGAAGGAACTTAAACAAAGTAAAGATACAGGCTACAGCTATACGAGAGAGTTTAAAGCAGCAGAGCTGCAGTAAACTCTAAATGTAACTGATCTAAGCCAATGGGAGTGAACTCTCGTCAGCTTAGCTACTCTAGCCCTGTGAGCGGCGGTAGCTATGTTAGCAGGAGATGCTCTGCCGCTGACATAGCGCTGTCCATGCTGGCGCATAGGTTGGTGTAACTTACATTACTCATGGCCAGAGCCCTCCCCTCCATAGGTTTGGGAGGCCCCCGCACTTCAGGGGGGGCAGGGCAGCCCAGGGGGCTAGCATGGGCCTGGTGCCGGCAGCAGGGGTTGGGCCTGTGCCCCATACTCACCAGCCCGGGCGTTTATTTCCTTTTCTTGCCCACAGCCCCGCAGGCTCAGGCTCAGTCTCTGGCAGCAGCAGTGAGCGACCTGGCCCCGGCCCGCTCTGCTGACTCCTGACGTTGCCTGCCGCCACAGGGTCCTAGCTCCCCGCAACCACTAGTGCCAGGGCAGGCTGACCCCGCCCTTCTGCCTCGGATAGACCCTTCCATTTTCCGATGGGACCCTCCACCAGCACAGGGGGCCCCCTAGGACATATGAGTGCCAGCCAGAAGTCTCCATCGTCCCTCACCCATCGTCCAGCACTGGTGTCCCCCTAGTGCCCCACACCTCCCCCTTGCACTGCCCTTTCTCCCCCCTCCCAGCACTGGGTAGGGTCCTCCAATGCCACCTCAAGGCCAGGGCCAGCCCTTATCACTCCCCTGCCTCAGGGTCCTCCTTGCCTTTCAGCTCTTCAGCCTTCAGGTCCTTCTCCCCACAGTACCACCCACCAGGGACTGGGATCCTCCAACCATCTGCTTTTCCGCCTCCCCTCCCCCTCCCAGCCCCCAGAGAAAACAGATCTCCGAGACCCTCCTCCATGCTGGAGGGTCCTGGGGTCCCCCAGCACCAGGGCACATATAGGCCCTCCGAGAGCCACCCAGTTCCCGAGACATGGGCTCTCAGTGTTGCGAATGTGTAATTACATTTTCAAAAAATCCACTGAGGGTAATGAGACCATATGCACCTGGGAAGTGAGTTTGCTGCAAGGAAGTCCAGGAAGGTGGATTTCAGAATGTAAGCAGCGTGACACTGATCGTGATCGGTGAGTTTTTTTAAATTATATGAACTTCATTATAATTATAAAAAAGAACTACAATATAATATAACATAATTATACAGCTGGGCGCTATCAATATTTAACCTGCCGCCAGCCGCTGCCCTTGAAGTTCACTCTAACCAGATTTCCCCTGTATAACAAGTATTAAGTAGGGCCCCATACAGGCTAATTTGCCCCGGGCTACGCACCCCCCTAGGGACGCCCCTGCTCATGGGGGTGGTTTTTTCATGGTCCCGAGCAACATAAGTTATACCGCAGCAAGTGTTAGTGTAGACATAGTCCTAGTACACGGAGCGTGACAGCGCGTTGTTTCACGTATGAGGACAACATGGCCTCAGGCACAGATCCTCAAGGGTATTTAAGTGTCTAACTCTCATTGCTTAAATACCTTTTGCAGATCTGGGCCAAAACAAGAGTGGGAGAAGGAAACAAAGGGGGCATATACATACCTTTATTTTAAATTGTTTATTCCTAAGGAACACAACCCTGTACTGCTCGTTAACTAAATCTAAAATTAAGACAAAACTGACAACAGCCACTCTCAGGTCACCCAGAAAGTTTTTTCTAGCTGGACTGGGAAAAGCCTAAGGCTTACCATGCTCTCATTTGAGAGTAAGAGATGATTATGTGGCAATCAGGGAGCCCCTTAGTCCAGTACAGCGAACCTTTGCACTCAGCCAAGCAATCCTAAAATGTGGTCTGTTGTGCAAAGAAGTTTGGCAAGACTTGGCAGCTGCCCCAGGGGAGCAAATACATTGGAAAGACAGTCTGCAAAAATTCTGACTTCAGCTAGTATAACTTGACAGGCAGAGCTAAAATAGGTAAACTCCCTGTCCCAAAATACTACTCTTCACATGCTCAAGTGATTATTGGACTGACAGACAGCAATGTATGAATAATTAAACAGACAAGCACAACGCAGGCAGGATAATTATTATAACTACATCTATAAAGGGGATATTTATTGCCAGAATTGGATATGTAGGTGAAATTTACTTACTAGACACAACACTAATGTTTCTTTCTATTAATTCTTTAGTATGGAGATGATAAAACTTTCACAAAGAATAGCTTTCTGCTGCTGCTTTAGGAGCTTTATTAGAATAAGGGAAATAGTATTGTTCCTAAATCTACTTTTTCCATCTGCTTCACAGTAGAACTTCTGCCTAGAATGTCCCCTAGTCCTTCCTGCCTGGCTTCCTGCTATAGAGTTAAAAAAACAATGTACATATTTACACAGAAGACAGACGGTGCTAAACTATAACACTGGAACACAACAGATCAGGCTCATCTATCTGGAGAATAATGCTCTGTAATTATAAACAGTTCTTCTTAAGCAATCACCATTCAGTTTACACAAGTGGGTGTATAACCAGAAGATAATTTACATTGTGGGTCTGATTTTTAAAATAGCCTCTTTTAAGCCTCCACAGTTGTGGGAACAATTTCATGCCATCTGGTAGTTTGATATTTAAATATTAACTGTTATAGTACTGACATAATAACTACTCAAGATAGTTAAGTCTCAGGCAAACTGCAAAGAGCTACAAAAGGATCTCTGAAAACTGGGTGACTGGGCAACAAAATGGCAGGTGAAATTCAGTGTTGATAAATGCAAAGTAATGCACTTGGAAAACATAATCCCTACTATATATATAAAATGATGAGGTCTAAATTAGCTGTTACTACTCAAGAAAGAGATCTTGGAATCATTATGGATAGTTCTCTGAAAACATCTACTCAATGTGCAGCGGCAGTCAAAAAAGCAAACAGAATGTTGGCAATCATTAAGAAAGGGATAGATAATAAGACAAAAAATATCATATTACCTCTATGTAAATCCATGGTATACCCACATCTTGAATTCTGCAAGCAGATGTGGTCGCCCCATCTCAAAAAAAGATATATTGGAATTGGAAAAGTTTCAGAAAAGGGAAACAAAAATGTTTAGGGGTATGGAACAGCTGCCGTATGAGGAGAGATTAAAAAGACTGGGACTTTTCAACTTGGAAAAGAGACGACTAAGAGGAATATGATAGAGGTCTATAAAATCATGACTGGTGTGGAAAAAGTAAATAAGGAACAGTTATTTACTCCTTCTCATAACAGAAGAACTAGGGGCCACCAAATGAAATGAATAGGCAGCAAGTTTAAAACAAACAAAAGGAAGTATTTTTTCACACAATGCACAGTCAACCTGTGGAACTCCTTGCAAGAGGATGTTGTGAAGGCCAAAAGTATAACAGGGTTCAAAAAAGAACTAGATAAATTCATGGAGGATAGGTCTATCAATGACTATTAGCCAGGATGGGCAGGGATGGTGTCCCTAGCCTTTGTTTGCCAGAAGCTGGGAATGGGCAACAGGGGATGAATCACCTGATAATTACCTGTTCTGTTCATTCCCTCTGGGGCACCTGGCATTGGCCACTGTCAGAAAACAGGATACTGGGCTAGATGGACCTTTGTTCTGATCCAGTATGGTTGTTTTTATGATGTCCACAGTTAATTGACCTGAAGAACTGGAGGCTGTTTCTGAAAAACAGCCTCATAATTGCATTACTCTTTTGCCAAAATAAAAAGAAAGTATATAGTTGAGGAAAACTGATTTTGGCAGTTGTTTTATTCAAACAAATTAGATGAATTTATTTGAAAGGTTATTCATCTTGATTTCTAACAGTAAAAAGGTGCCCATTTATTACTCTGAGCATTTCTGATATGTGTGTATGTATTAAATTACAAAGAAGACAGAAGTAGGAGCAAACTCAGAAAAAGTCCAGCAAATTCCATTCTCAAATCAACCCCATAGCTGAGACTTTCCCAACTATTATGATGGTGTAACCAGTGGCTCTCAACCAGGTGTACATGTATCCCTGGGGTATACAGAGGTCTTTCAGGAGGTACATCAACTCATATAGATATTTGTTAGTTTTACAACAGACTACAGAAAAAGCACTAATGAAGTCAGTACAAACTAAAATTTCAAACAAGTACTTGTTTATACTGCTCTATATACTATACACTGAAATGTAAGAACAATATTTATATTCCAATTGATTTATTTTATAATTATATAGGGAAAAATTAGAAAGTAAGCAATTTTTCAGTAATAGTGTGCTGTGACACTTTTGTATTTTTATGGCTGATTTTGTAAGCAAGTCGTTTTTTAAATTTTAAGTGAGGTGAAACTTGGGGGTAAGCAAGACAAATCAGACTCCTGAAAGGGGTACAGCAGTCTGGAAAGGTTGAGACCCACTATTGTAACGTACAATACTTTGTAACTTACACAAGATGCACCAGTTCTTTAGATTATTCTGTTTTCATATTTTATATCAATATAAAAATAAATTTATAAATCACCATCTAGTACCATTACAGCAAATTACCCACTAGAAAAGTAGGCACAGTATATAATGACTGATCCAAAATATTTCACATTGGAAAAAATAAGATAGATA